GACGGACAGACGGACAGACGGACAGACAGACAGACGGACAGGGCCAAATCGACTCAGCTCGTCGCCCTGATCAAGAATATATATACTTTGTGGGGTCTGCCACGCCTCCTTCTGCCTGTTACATACATTTCAACAAAACCATTATACCCTGATTTCCCATTTTCAATGGGTTCAGGGTATAAAAACGGATTGAAACACTGTCGATTAGATCTTTGATTCAAATCAATTAGACTATATCTGTTTAGTATTATTATTTCCATTGTCATAGCCAAAAGTAAAATCTAGCTTTACGCTGTCAGTTTGTGGGAAGATTGATTCCTTTATTCGTTTCTGGGCATATGTCCTTAACAGTCTGAAGTAATCTTGATAAAGCACTACTTTTGGATAGAAAAAACGAGCTTAGTTTATATAGATAATCTATCCGTCCGTCCATCTGTCTGTCGGTTTGAGTGCCCGACATTTTGTAAGCCACCAAAACTAGAGATTTGCCTGGATTTAAGCTTGTTATTATTATTATTGTTAAGATGAATGATTAAAAATATAATAAAAATTCAACACAGGCACTCGTATATAATGATGAAAACATCATACATATATATATACATATACATATGTATATAGCTGACTCAACTGCGTCTTTCAAGATGTTCAAGCAGAACTTCACAGCAGCAGCTGCTGTTACCTTCGGCCTAAACTGTTGCTCAATTTACAAATTGTTTGATCTTAAGATGTATATATGTATATATGTAGACATATATATTTATAATTGTTGTTTGTCTGTGCAGCTGCCTCTTCTTTGTTTTGCTGTTGATTGCCTTGGCGCATTCAATTAATGCAAATGCTCAACTTTAGGTGAGGCAGTTGGCTTAGGCCTTTGGAGCCTTTGTTTTGAGGGTTCATTGGGGCCATTGGCCGCCATAAATCAACAATTGTTGTCGTCACCGTCGTCGGGGTTAACTGCAGCGCCAACTTTAACTACTTTCTGGGCGCTCACAAATCGTCAAAGTTTCTTATATATTTTCTTTTTTTTCTGTGTTCATCGCTTCGCTTGCAATTTGCAACACGAAGCTGCCAAAAAGCGTTTTCTTATTATTATTTTCCGTTTGTTTCACCTTTTTGCATTCGAAGTTTGTCTGTGGCGCAAAGGGGCACGCCCCTGCGCCTACCCTACCCCCACATGCCACGCCTCGACGCCCAGCACCCAGCAATGCAGTTTGACAATTTCGTTTGCCGCACCTCAAAGTAGGCAACACAAACCAAACAATGACAGCCGAAAGAGAGTGGTGGAGAGAGAGAGAGAGGGGAGGCAGTGTGAAAGAGGAAGGTGGAAAATGGCAGCAAGAAAAGCTGCAGACAGAAGCAACAAAGGTTTTGCTTATTGACATTAAAGATTCAATAATGGCCAACATATGGCAGCTGCCGGATTTGGCTGCCAAACTTATCAGCAAATCAGACGAGCAAATTGAGAAAAAAAGAGGCAAATGTGAAGATGGAAATCGCTTAGACGTTACCCTGCACAGTCAGAGAGAAATAAAGTATATATATTCCCTAGAGAATTCAATAGCCTACGAAAATATTATCAGAAGTAAACTCAATGACCTAAAGAGGTCTCTAAAGAGAGAGAGAGAGAGAGAGAGAGAGAGAGAGAGAGAGATAGAAATATACATAAGTCTATAAAACATCGATAGAGCATGGATAGAGACAAATATCTATATAGGAAGTTATATAATTGATGAATGCGAGTTGAAACAGCCTTTTCCTTGCTCCAAATTTCTATATAAGTAAAATCTATATAAGCATCAGGCTTATATGGCCTGTTTGATCTGCAAGAAAAATGCTGGGTATATAACAAAAGGGCTTCCAATTATGAGCGCAGCACAAGACAATGGGTCGGAGTGGACAGGCAGACAGACAAACAGAGAGGCAGATGGAGATGCTGGGACAGACAGGCGGTAAGCCATTTGCCGGCTCGTTTGATGCTCAGGACATAGGTAAACAAATTACGTGCAGCATTTATAATCCGCCAAAAATCCCAAAAATAAAGATAAAGGTGTGTAGGCAGCCGAAGGTTGGTCAGTGCTGCTCTGGGGGGAGGGGCATCTGCCACAGGCAGTGGGGCTCTGCAAGTGGGACTCGGCCCCGGGCAGCCAAACACCTGGGCAGCGCTTGAGCGGTGTCACAGGGTATGCATCGAACGGGGTGCTCCCGCCTTAGCTGGAAAATGCAGCAACAGGCAAACAGCAATTGGCAGCAGCTGCAGTCAAATCGCAGCTGCAGCAGCTC